ACGAAGTAACAGTGTAGATATAAGGAATTACCAAGTAAAATAAATAACAAAAAAAAAAAAAAAAGAATAAAAAAAAGAAAAAAAAAAATAAAAGAAGGTTACAGATAAAAAGAATAAAAAAATGATAGAGAAAATGAAAGAATACTGCGTGTATTTTTTCTACATGCTGGATTACATGTTTTTAAAAAAAATAGGATGAAACAAAAGTAAAATACTTTTGAAAATATAATAATGCGTATTATATGTAACATATAATACAAGTTGCTCTTCTCTTTTTCATTTTGTTCATATGGACTGATAAAAAGGAACTTGATTCAACGTAAGAGACATAATAATAATGGTAATAATATTAATAATAGTAGTAATAATATTAATTAATATAATAATAATAATAATAATAGTAATAGTAGTAGTAATAATAATAATAATCATAACGCGTGTGTAAAGAAAAGATGGAGACCTTGGAGACGTGTAAAGCTTATCATTCACGATAACAATCCTAGATATTTTTCAAAATTCAGAATGCTTGTCATATTAATTTTTTTTTTTTTTTTTTTTTTTGGTTTCGACTAGACGAACCTTTCTAGAAATTATTTCATCGTGAACCAAGCTTTCATCGACTCCGTTCAGAACTCTAAGAAGTACGCGCTTGTAGCTGCGTTGAAAAGATCTTAGCACATCGAGGATTAGGATTTGTTTAAAATTAGAAGACAAAAATTGTCTATTATTTTTTATTTCACGTAACAAAATGCGTGAATTAAAAAATGCCCCATTCCTTTTTAGAAATTGTTTCTTTGCTTATTTTTCAGAACGAGTCATAGTTCTGAATTTATTTTTTAATTTTTTTTCTCACGTTTGGAAACGAGAACGAATTATAATACTTTATTTTTTACGATTTTCGAATTTTCTTTTCGAACACTTCATCGCTTCTTTCAATTTTTACAAAAAATGATGTAATAATTGAAAATCTTTATGTTGTCTTTTTCAAAGAAAGGATCCTCGATGTATCAAGAACGTCTAAAGGACGAATAAAGGGAAATGATCGCGTGTTGCTTTGTCTCTGGCGCGTTATTTAAAGTTCCTTTTCGAGTTTAATCAACTCGGCGATTCCATCGTGCATCTCCTTCACAGCCTGATACTCGGTCAGACCAAGACGTCGTTTATTAGAAATATCGTAGATGCCACCTTCAGCCTCAGTGTGCTCTCCACGAGTACCACGAACCTGAAGATTGAACTTTCCTGCGATTTCCTCAAGTTTTGCCCTGTTAGCAGCTAATTTAGGCAGCTTGATGTGCACAGAAGCACGGACTGTAGTACCCAAATTAGTCGGGCAGAAAGTCAGGAAACCGAGACGATCATTGTGTGAGAACGGAAGTCGTTTCTCGATTTCGTTTACAGCATGTACCAGGCGACGATAAACCTAAAATTGTTTTTTTTTTTTTTTAATCAATTACATTAAACTTACAAACTTATAAATTATTGATGTTAAGATAAAAGATTAAAAAGATATTATTTTTACCTGTCCAAGGTCACCACCCATCTGCATGGAAATAATACGAAGATGATCTTCCTCGTTGCACCAGACCAAGAAGGTCTTATCGTCGTTGTGGTAAATACCACGACCAGTGGGCCAGAAGCGACAAGCATTGGCAGCTTGCAAAAAGCGATCACCCTCTTTAAACAGGAAGTGATCATCGATCAATTTTTGTTGAATTTCTTTGCTCATGCCGGTTAGAGGATAGAAAGTTCCCTTGAGTTCACCCTCTAAGCCTGACAGTGTACTAGAGACTTTTTCTTCCATCTCTTTGTACTGAGCCTCGGTCAAGCAAGGATTGAATGGATAACCTTCTAAGGAGCGACCGCATCTTACACGAGTGGAAACGATGAATTCACCCTAAAAAAAATATATGTGATAAGCTATTATTTATCTGAAAATTTGAAAAAATAGAAAATATAAAATCGAAATTAATTGTATCAACTTTAATTAATTATTAAATTATATCTAAATTATATTTTTCAATACTAACAGCTGGATCAAGGTTGCCGAGAGAATCAACGTCTCCAAAATCTTTTGGCGGATGCTTGTCAGACTTCTTGAAGCCACCATGGTAATCTTCAATAATGGGATCGAAGAGGTCAGCAAAAAGTGTGTAAGCCTCAGCGTCAGGAGCGTAAATACCAACACCAGAATCCAAATTCTCTACACCAGATTGGATACAATCTAGAAGAGTAGAGTCGAAGGAAGTTTTCTTCGTTTTTAGTTGATCAAAGACCTCCTTGGTCAAATACTTCTTTAGCAATGATTTGCTGTCTGAGTTAGCCAATTTGGTGAAACCGGTCTCCAGTTTATCCAAAACAGCTTGGTCAACCATATTGCTGCTTTTTTTGCTGTAAAAAAATTATATCAAATATATAAATTGAATATTAAGAAATAAACATAACATAGAAAAAATAATATTTGAAATTTCTTTTTTCATTCTCTATTTGTTACAAATTTATTTTAAAAAAAGAATATTATAATTTTCTATTGCGTTTTCTACACATTGATTAATATAATAATAAAATATAAGTTAAATGTTTAAAATTAAAAATTATGAATAGGAATTAAGATCGATCCGATCAAATTATAAAAAAATTTTAATATTTTTAGCTAACTATTTTTTACATGAGATAAAAAAACATTAAATAAATTAGTGAAAACAGAAAAATTAGCTTTTCTTTTCTTGCACTTAGATACATGTCGATTTCTATACTAATAGATAGATTGATGATTATTCTATAGATAATCAAAATTTTATATGAGTGTTGTTTTGATTCTTTATCAGCATGCCTTATCACGAAAATTATATCTATTTGCGCGTATTATTTGCATCAGATTGTCTACGATAATCGCGAAATGATTTTTTTCATAATGGAATATTTCAAGATTTTATAAAATTCTTAATATATTAATTCTTCTCCTTTTTATTGTATCGAAGGAGGAATTTAATATTTGCTTTCTTATATATATTATATATTAAATTTTTTTTTTTAGAATGAGAAATAGATAAAGAGTAGAATACAAACAGTCTAATTATCAAAGATTTTTAATTACATAACGAATAAAATTTTAATTTTGCTGTTCATATAATTTTTATACACTATTATTCAAACAAATTTTTATATTATTTTTTAATAATATCAAGAAAATATTATAAACAATTTTATACATTTTAACGTTTGAAAATTATTAAAAGAAAAGTATAATAACATTGAATTCCATGGAAAATAACTATATTATCTGTTTTCATTCATCTATGATCATTGACTATTTTCCTTTGAAACGTTATATATATATACACCCTATATAACTTTTACGTAACATCAACCCTCGGCATTATTCAACTTTTGCAACCCCTTCATAACACTATCACTACAAAACAATCCCATCGACGACGATGATAATGCTTCAATAAATTTTGCATACGCTCCATATAATAATGTTATAATAATGTTATAATTATTATGATCATAATTAATTATAAGTTTCATTCAACAATTATATAACATCTAATAATTAACGAAATATCGTTAAAAAATCGTTAAAAATCATTCGAAATCATCGTTACTCACACTATCCTTGTTCCAAATAGTTTGACAATTTGACAGTTGATAGAATGATTAAGGAATCGAGGTTTCGAAAGATACATATTCTTCGATGCAGAGATTTTAAGTATAGGTGTCATCGGGAAATTCATAGTTACCTTTTTTTATGCACATTTTTTAATCGTGCTATTTTGTGTGCAAATTTCAGAAAAGGATTCATTATTATTTATGTTTATCGATCAAGAAATAAGAATAATCGATTTTCGATGTGAATGTGGCACCAATTTTCAATAATTTAGATGAAATATCTAACATCTCGAAAACATATATTTGTAATAATTTTTAGAAATTTTTATATTGTATATTTACATTATATTGTATATAAAAATATATATTTATATTAGAGATATCTTTCAGGAACATTTTTCTTAATTTATAAATTATATATATATATATATTTTTTTTATTAATTAAATATTGTAAGCAATAACGAAAAATATTTCAATTTTATTTTTAATAGACGAATAGAAAATAAAGAAGCATTTTGAGGAAATTTATAATTCTTCAAAAATGGCAATAAAAAACCGATAATATTCTGTAACAACGATTATAATTAAATTTAATAATGTAATTTTTAATTAAATATTTCTCTCTATTAATATTCAATATATATATATATATATTATAAATTGATTCAACAAAAACTTTTATGGATTCATAAACATTTAATCATTTAAATATATACTATAGTTTTCCTTTAATATTATTATCTGAAAGATTTTCAGATAATAATATTGATAATTAACGATACAATATTGCAAGATAAAATTATAACGTACGTGATTATAATACATCAATAAAACATATTTTTTATCGGTGCCATGATTGTTTTGCAAAGTGCCAAATATTCTGCTCAAAATAATTAAATACTTCGTTCAAATTGTGATAAAATAATTATTGTAGTTTATAAATACCATAGTTAATATAAAATATACAAATAAAAAAATGTTTTAAATTAATTATTTTGAGCAAAATGTATTACACAATTAGTGATAATTAGGCGTGTTTTGATGTTGGTGCAATTTTTGAAATTATACACATAGTGTATCGCTCGAACTCTTTTCCCTTTTTTAAAGAAATATCTAATTCTTAATGTTCACTGATTAAATTCATTTTTCTTTCATTTTATATATCGTTTCACAAAATGGAGGATACTACAATTATAAATGTTACAAATTTTTATATATATATTTTTTCTTTTTAAATTAAAATAATTTTCTACAATTACAATTAAATTAAATTCTACTTTTTCTAATTCTTCTTTTTTACAAAGTAGAGCAATTCCTCTGTTCCATTCTTCTTTTATATATATAATACAACTCTTAATCTTTTTTCTACTTATTTACAAAAAAAATTTGAAAAATTTTCAATATTTATTAACTCGTACTAATCTTCTTTTCCACTTCTTTATTTTATAAAAAAAGAACACTTTATCTTTTTCATTATATTTAAACATTCTAATAATTGTCAATAATTATAAATTTTTCCCCTTTCCCCTTTTCCCTATATTATCAGATGTATAACTTTCAATATTTAACAGTTCAAATTCTTCCTTTCTCTCTCTCTCTCTCTCTCTCTCTCTCTCTCTCTCTCTCTCT